CAAGCTTCTTTTGGCATTGAAAAATGTTTACTTTGCCATCAAGCAAATAAAAGCAATGTTACAAAACTGCTGCTGTGCAGTTTAAAGGCAAACACTGCTCTCTAAATTGATCAAGAAGCGCAAAATAAGTAGGAGTAGCAATATGGTTCACATCTTAACTCAAGGCCTAAGTGGGGATTGTAATTGCAGTGAACTGCCACTAGAGGCCACCAAAGGGTCTTAGCTTTCTGTAAAGAGACTTGCTGGGTGTCAATTATAATAAACCCTCAGTTTACTGGATTAATGGGAGGGAAGGGGTGTCTGTTATCACCAAATGAGTCACAAATAGGTCTTTTTCAGCCAAAATATACACTATTATATTAGAAATTCCTTATATACTATACAGTATTGTACTGTATATATTCTTACTGGATCTTTTGACTTTTGGTGTTTTGCCAGCTAGGGAAATATATAGTAAGTGCTGAGTCTTACACAAACAGTGCAACATGTTTTACATGCCTACTTAAATTTGAGAAGGTATCCAAACAATTCGTAGGCATTAGGGTGAAATGTCAGTATCCACTTTTATGTTATCCGGCAGAGTTTCTGTATCTACAGTGCATGCTGCACAAGAGCCACACTGATCAATCTACTGTTAGTAAAACCTTGCTTGGTTGGCATTTGGTCTAAAGATCTCCGCTGGGCTTTTCACACGTAGGGTGGTTCACCACAAAGTGGTGCTCGGCCTGGTCTGGAGACTCACTGATTCAAAGTTGCAATGCAGCGAGATGTCATTTCTATACTCACACAGGTCTTCTTCTGGAGGTGCAAGCTCAAAACCACGCCAAAAAACAGGTCACGTGGAAGTACCATACAGTACATGTTTGAGGAATTCTGCCTTGAATTTTTTTCCCAAATGAATTTATTCTCTGTTCAGGCAACAGAAGGGATTTAGTAAGCCAAGGTTGTGATTAAAAGGCGGTGTTTTTATTCCCAGTATCAAGTTTTACATTCAGTGCCAGTGTTTGAAACAACCATCCACCCCAACTCAGAGCTAAGGGTCGGATTTCTTCTGTTCACTTTGTGATTTTAGCAAATGTGCAAAATAGTGCCTGAGGGAAATATCTCAGCTCTGTTTTCTTGTCATTTATGGTATATTATGTTTTCACACAAAACACTGCATTTATTTTACTGTCAGAACTAAACCTTTTGCCTAACAAAGCAAGAACACCCATGCACAGTGAATGGGTTTGTGATTATGTACATCTGAACAATTGCATGGGGTGCCAACTTCCTGCTCTCAAATAACCACCATGGACATTTTCACACATGAAAACACTCCAAGGAGACCTGGAGTTATGCAGGTGTCAATAAAAAAATGAAAAACTAAGACACGTTTCAGACAAAAACAACTTTAAACTTCATAATTACCCTGCCATTCAAAACTATTCAACCCTCTACAAAGTTTCCTCATTTTGTTTGAGCTTAGCATCATGACACATTCAAACAGGTCTTTATATTTAGTATCTACACAATTAGTCCAAATATAGAATAGTCTTAATAGAGACCATGAATGTACAAAACACACACAGCACAAGCTAACTGTGCTACCCACAGTCAGTACAGCATACAAGGAGTATGGCAATATCTTTGCCTTCATATTGTTCTTACAAAAGTAGACAATAACATCAAATAAAAAAACATGAAAGAATGGAGTAAAATCCATGTCCAGTTTCCTGTAATTTTAATTAAATGGCCTTGGCTTCATATATTTGAAAGAGGTCCAGCACTAGTTTCTACAACAGAGCACCAAAAGCAGCGCACGTACTGTAGACCCTCTTATCCAAGGTTAAAGACAAGGTTCAAACATTCCCCTTTAAATTTGCCCATTAATCTTTAAAGACTAAATACACAGTCAGAGACTTTGGAAATCACAGTCACTTACAGTACATGCCAATGTTGTTTAGTAAAACATCAGCTACACTGGATTGTATTTGTTGCAGCTCGACAAACGTGCAATCCGAATGTGTACTGTTGTATGCAGCTGAATCGTGCTATGACACCAAGTATTTTACTATTTCAGCTGGGTAGCTGCGTCAGCATGCGTAGGCTGCAAAGGAACAAGTAATAGGTTTATTCCATGCTGGAAAAAAAAGAAGAAAGAAAACAACGTTTCGGCCATGGAGCCTCTTTTAGGTGCAAGAAAGACAAGGCAGTAAGCAAATGTTCTCCCGCTACTTTACCTTTGTAATGTTGTTCAGAGGCTGCGGCACATTGAAGTCATTTCACGTGCAGTGTGCTTGTCTCATCAGTAGAGTGCGCTGCTCGCCACGATACTGTGAGTTTCTGTTTTGGAAGACGAAAGACGAAAACGTTCATTGACTTTCCAGGCGATTTATAAGACGGCAAGAAAATTTCAACCAGGATTTCTATTGGAATGCATCACATAGAGGAGCGTGAAGAATTTTACATTTTCTGAATTTATCTACAGCAGGGTGGTCCAGCATCTCTTCATTTTTTTCCAGCACTACAAACGCTTGGAGGTCTTGATAAGTTGGTCCAATTGAAAGCCAATAATTAAGCCAATCTAATTAACAGCAGATTTGAAGTTAAAACAGTTCCGGGTAGTTTGGCACTTCTAATCCAGACTACAGATAGCACAAAGCTCTGTAAAATGTTGCAAACCCCTTTATAGGAATTTTCTGAAGCCAGATCATTAATTGATTTGGAGAATCCATGTCTATTAAGCTGGATGTTGTTTTATCTGCACTGATGCTTCTTTGCAGTCAACATTTCTCTTTTGTTACCCATTTTATTATGTGAAAGTTCCCTGCTAAGAGTTTTGGCTCAGGAACTGTCAGGTTTAAACAAAAAAAAAATAGTGGCTTTAAAGGTCAAGGTCGTATCCTGACTATAGTAAACTTTAAAAAGATGGACTTTTTAACTGGTAAGAACAACTTCAGGGAGAGTGGCTACCACCATCCCTTAACAAGAAATACTGTACCCCAACACCAAGGACCTAATTCCAACTACTGCTTCTCCTAAAAACATAAACGTCTGAACCCCAGAGAGACACTTTTATGCTAAGATAACCCCTCCCTCTCTAATTAAACCCCCGCGAGAATGCACACCTTTCCATCATTCAATAAACAAATCAATAGGTTGGAAGAAACGATTTTCTAAACAGGTCTTAGACCGTGTTTTTTGCGGCCTCTAGTGACAAGTACGATCATTGCAGTCCTTCCACAGGACAACCTGTCACAAATCTTGATTTGCTTTATTCAACAAAATAATGCTTTTTTTAAAAAAAAAACGAAAGGGTATTTGCTACCACGGTGTTAAATAATGTACTGACCTTTAATCCAAGAAAGTCACTGGATGGAGAACTCTTCAGGGGGAGAAAAATATTTATTATATAAGTTTCATTAAACAAACTACAGTACCTAATCATATTTTATTACAGCATTATCTTCTAAAACTAAAGCCTCTTTTTATAGTGCAGCTCTTCATCATTTAATGCCATGCATGCTGTTTAGCATGTTTCAGGCTCGGGATCGATGACACAACGTGGTGACAGTTCCTGCAGCAATTAGGTTTAGTCCGAACGGGAGGATGGCAGTGCAAATTGCCTTTAAATGTTGGCGTCACCACCTACACTGTAAACCTGCAAGAGCTGAACTAGAACTGGAACAATTTTCCCTTTTACACTACCTCTCCTCATAGTGGGCCTGAAGCACGTCTTAACA